TAAGCACCCAGACAATTTGGGGAAATACATAAATACAACTCATCAGCCAGCTCACAAATGGCTAAAAGCAAAACATATCACTTGTTACACAGATGTGGAGAAATAGAAAAGCTATCTTCATAAAAGTCATTCGGCAATTCTAGACTATATTCTCTATGTTGGAGGGTTCCTCTCATCTCCACCGTCTGTATTTGAGTTATTATGACGACTAGCACTACCAGCAGGTGGACCTAGTAATAATGGAGCATCTTTCTTCTCGCTGTTGGCTTGCACATCGGCATTTCGGTTAGCAGCCCAAGCTCTGAGAGGTGGTTCAAAATGCTTGCTAGCAACGTCAGGTGGAGGTGCATCCTCCCCCGGCAGAACAAGAAGTCCTTTCTCTTGGAGAGCAGAGGCTTCATTGTAAGAGGCATTCCACAGGGAGTCCACAAGCTGCCTTTCCTCTCTAGCAGCTCCAAGGTCCTCAGCTGACATCAGGCTGATCCCTTCAATTCGTTGCTCAAGAAGTTCCTTAAGTTTCCTGTCCTCCTCGCTTGAGCAACTGCCACCCTGCTCTCTCCTGTCTCTAGCAAGCTCAAGAAGACCCCTGAGTGCTCCCTCTCTCACTTCTCCATCTTCACTGGAAGCAAGATGCATCAGAATACGTGGGAACCCAAGTTCAGTCACAATATTGCAGTCTGAACGATTTTCATGCAATAAGTAGTGGATCAAGTTAAGAGCCTTCCTGCAAGATCAAATAAATTTTAGAAATCGGTGATAAATGAGAGAAATGAAATGGTTTCACTGAAGCAACATATATTTAAAAAAGCACCTTTGAAATCTCACGCTCTCAAAACTTAAAGCATCCCTTAGGGCAGAATAACCATTTGCAAGACGAAATGCTGCAATACCAGGCTTATTGTGCCTGATTAAAGCTGAAAGATGTAGAAAGAGTCAAAACAATTAAAATACCAACAAATCCCGTCCAAGCAAGGGATCAAACTTCAACAGACAAGTGAAAGGCCCTCCTAAAACTACAGGGAACTCACATGAGATTGCACCGAGTGCTTTAGTGCGCACAGTAACATCAGGATCCGAAGTGAAATTATGGAGGAGTGGTTCCAGACCATTAGCTTCCATCACAAGTTGTTGACTCCTGGGATTGTTCTGAACAATTGTGCTCACAACTTCTGCAGCTTTGGCTCTAATATTAGCATGGGAATTCCTCAGATACTTAAGAAGAGGATTCAAACCCCAATAGAATGGAGATCTGCACATGCAAAGGGACAAATAAACGCAATTCAGGATACATAACTCAGTGAAATTACTGGCAAATTGTGACATTACTGGCAAACAGCAGTGAAACTACCATAATTCGGTTGTAAAGAAAGAAAAATAATAAATGTTACTTAGGACGGAAGCATAAGCACGGAATTTCAGCAAGCTACCAGCATAAAGCAGCTTTTCATAATCACAAACATGTTTCGATTAGATCCACATTTCATACATATAGTCCCTTTTCAACATCCATCTCTAGGTTGCATACGAGTCTTTCACATAATATTTGCACCAATACTGTCAGCTAAACGTCAGGTGCTAAAGAAACTATCAGGTAAAAGAGATACAGAAAAATGGCTCTCAACTTAAAATTAAGTTTGCGAAATGCACATCAACATGTTCTTTTTCTTCTTCTCAAGTTTACCGTGAATATTAACAGGCCAGAACGGAAAATAGAAAGTATTTATAAATGCTAAGAAGGCTCACCGTTGGCCATGTCAATAGACTCGACATGCTCTTGTAACTCGTCCAACATATCTGTAACAAAGCAAACACAATAAGTTCGGCTCCTTCAATCGTTCTTGGAATCAAATTTGATACTAAAATAACGCAAAAGGGAAAAGGGAAAGAGAAGGCGGGCAGGGGACGGGGTCCAGAAGAAGTGAATGATAGTGATACGATACCCTCAAGATCTTGAGGAGTGAACCCTTGAGATTCAAGCACTTGGTCCGGAGTTTGCATAACCAGAGTTATCGCCTTCATTCTTCTGATGACGTCAACCGTCTGCGATTGCATAGCCTCCATAAACCATCTCCGATCCTCCTCGCTACACAGTGGAGACTCCCAATTAGTTTACTCTCCTCCAAAGAAAATTTAGAAAAGTTCTTCCGATTAAAAAGAAAAAAAAAGGGAAAACAAGAAACAAAACAGGAGGGGGAGGGTGGTTGGGAAGTTTAAAAGGGGTACCTCAAATTACGGGGGGACGAGTACCATCTGCGTGAGAGAGACTCCATTTCAGCAAACCTTCCCAATTCGGTCCTTCTTTCGCCATTTTTACTTTAGCTTAAAAACTTGTACTGAATCCACCAAAATACCAGCTGCGATAGTATAATATGTATAAACCCTAGCAACGTTCTTTGCACTCGCAGAAAATTTCAGTTAGTTATAGGAGAAAGAGGTAAAGGAGATGAGGGAAACTGAATAGAGAGATATATTAATCTACGATGTCAGAGAGGGGGAGGATGACGCAGAGAGCTATGCAATGCTTGGAGCTTTCAGGAATGGACTCGCACAATCCAGACGACCCCCGAAGCACCGCCACGCCCAGCTGTTCTAGTAAAAACGACCATAATTCTCCCACTGGGCTTTCTGAGCAAAGCTTTACATAACTGTGGGCCGGCCCACCTTGTTTTTATATATGACCTTTGATGTTTGAGTTGGTTTTTGATAGGGTTGCAAACGAATCAGGCCCTTCCGAGCAGCTTGATTCGAATTCAAAATATTAAATTTGTTAGTTCGCGAGTTCGAATATTAAGTTTTTTAAATTTTAAATATATATATTTTTTATTATTTTTTATTTTAAGTATATATATTTTTTATTTTTTATTTTAATAGTAAAATTATATATATATCTTTAATATTTTATTATTTAATAAGAAAAAAATATTATTTTATTTATTTTTTTATTTTTTTCAAGCTTGAGCTTTTTTTTGTCGGCTCGTTGAGTTCGAATTCGAATTCGAATTCAATAAAATTAAGTCAAGATTCGACTTAATTAGGCTAAAACTTGACTCGACTAGACTCATCTCATTTGAAATTCTAGTTTTTTACGAAGAGAAGGAAAAAGATAGGGAAGGATAACTATAAGAAGGGATAAAATCTATTTGTATTTTTGGCCGACAATGCATATCCAGGAAAACAAAAGGTCCGGGAGTTCTGATGTGTCTATTTCTTATCCACTTCAGAAAAAAATACAGAGAGAAGAATAGACCCACGTTCTCGTCGTGATCCGCTACAAAATAATCTTTGAAACTAAGCCACACCCAATTGATTTTAGAAAACCGATTCCTGTTGTAAAAATTAGAGAATCCATGGCATCCACGGCTTCTCTGCAGACGTTGTTTTCTTCGCTGGGAGTCAAGCAACCACGCGCAGGAGCTAGCGGAACATCCCTGCGCAGGTCAACAACAGCTGTGGGTTCAAAAGTTTGGTCGCTCAACGCAGGCGTGAGGGAGAATAAGAAGAAAGGGAGGTCGCTGACGGTGGTTGCAGCAGTTGGGGATGTGTCGTCGGAGGGAACCACTTATCTAATTGCTGGTGCTGCCGCTGTGGCCTTAATTGGAACTGCATTCCCCATATTCTTCTCCCGCAAGGACCTGTATGCGATTTTTATTATTCACTTTTGCAGTCAGTCTACAAAATTTTTATTTTTATTTTTTGGTGGTGGGTGCAAACTGTAAACTTGTGCTCTTCCTGTCATATACTTGCAGCGTAATGTTTAGTACTATTTAATACTGGAAGATGGTAGGAGCATATCCGTGAAATTAATTCAAATTGACGATTGCAGGTGTCCTGAATGCGATGGAGCAGGTTTCGTAAGACAATCGGGGCCGCATTGAGGGCAAATGCAGCCAGGAAAGACCAGGCTCAGATTGTCTGTGCTCGTTGTAACGGTCTTGGCAAGCTCAACCAAATTGACAAATAAAAAAAGAACCAAGGATGGTGAATCTCTTCACTCCTGTTACCATTGCTAATAAGTAATAAGTAGCAGTATTGTTTCTACTACTTTTTTTACTTTCCCCCCTCGCCCGCTTAGGCTTTTCCCGCTTTTTGCATATGTAAACCGTAGTAAACTACGCGCTGTGCAGATGTGTTGAATCCCAAATATTCTTCTTTTTTTCCTTTTTTTCTTTTCTGGTTAAATTCTCAAATGTTGCGAAACACCTCTAGTATTTTGATCTTTTTGTAATTTGATTTGTTTTTCTCATTCCAAAGCAAAATCAGCTAGTAGTTAGTGATGAGGCTATGACAAAAGCAAGCACGCACCAAGGCGCTAACCCTGTCTAAGGATGCAAACAGAATATTACATTGGAGTTTGAATTGGTAACTTACAGGATACTACCATATAAGGTTACTGGTTGAAGTCCCCACTCTACTAGAGCGTGGGATAGAGAATGGCACAGGATATGGAACAGAAGATCTGTTGCGATAATTATACATGTATTGAATGAATGTGCCTTAAATATTAATAATTAAAATAAATAGCGTGGGCATTTCTATCTACTTTCACGGAGTTAACAAAAGTTATCTACTAACTTTTTTAGAAATAAAAAGGGTTCCACTTTGTCCCCCCAAAATTTGGCTGATAACCCACTTCAATCTCTCAACTCCCTAAACTTATAAATACGTTCCAATTAAAGAAAATTGTTGACAGAATCTTGAATGCCGTTAGTGGTCAAAGAGCGTGGCAAACACGTTCCGTTAATGAAGATTGGGGAATGTTGTTACTGAAAATTTGTACACATGTCGAAAAAGTAACTACTGCTATTTAATACTAATATATTCTCCATAGCAGCCCATCTCAATCCAGCATCACTAGCTTCTTATACTCCTTACCAGAAATTGCAGCCTCCATGATGGCCTCTAGGTTCAAATTGTTCAATCCTCCATTATCTTCCAAATATAGACAAAAAGATGAAACTACAAAACTCCAAAACAACTCATCTATCCGAAGGCATATGCTTTTAGGCACTTTGTTTGGAATGCCAAGATGTTGTGGCAGTGACGGATGTGGACAGAGTCTGGACAATCTCATGCATGGGTTGGGAGGGCAGTGGATCTTTCTTTAAGAAACTAGCAATCAATCTAATGAGCAAAATTGCAAGTTCGGAAGGATAATTTCCTCCAAGAGAAGAATCCATGATCTGGCTCAAGTTCTCGATCCCGTCTTTCTCGTCAAGCACAGGGCTCAGAATCTTTGCCAAGTTCACATTCACAGCTTCATACAAGATAGCGACTTCTTTGCCAGTGAAAATCTCTAGCAGAAGAACCCCAAATGAATAAACATCAAGCATTGTGGATACTAGACCATTCTCCAAATACTCAGGAGCCATGTAACCTTTCGTCCCAATAATGTGCCTAGTCAAGGCAAACTGGCCTCCTTGTCCATCTGCTGATCTTGCTAGCCCAAAATTACTGATCTTCACTTTGAAATCAACATCAAGAAGAACATTGCTGCTTTTTAGATTTTTGTACATGTGGGGAGGGGAAATGTAGCTATGAAAATAATTAAACCCCATGGCCACATCCAAGCCAATCTGTAATCTCTGCTTCCAATCCAGACACTTCTTCTTTTGTTTGCCCTAATTTTCATAGAGCCAATCACTCAATGTTCCACTGGCAGCGTACTCGTAAACAAGATACCAATACCTATAGTTGAAACAAACCCCGGAAAGCCGGAAAAGATTCAAATTGCTGATCTTGTTCAGTAGATTAATTTCCTCAGACACATCTCCGTTCATCTTCTTAATTGCAACATAATCCCTTTTGATCGTACCACGGTAAACCGATCCACCAATCAAACTACTAGGACTAAAATTTTGTGTTGCCAATTTAAGTTCTTCATAGGTGTATAGTTGAAGAGAATGAGCAAAGCTAGATAAATTATCCTACAAATTCTGAGACATGTCTTCTTCCTCCAACTTCTTCCTCTTCTCGAGTGGTTTCTCGATTGATTCAAAGCTTTCTGATGCAATAAATGAATCCTTTTCTTTCTTCTTTCTTTTAGCAAAACGAAACCAGAATATAAGCAGCCCAAATACAGCTATTAGAGCAAACCCGCCAAGAGTTCCAATGAGAGCATATACCCAGGTTTTTCTTGAGCTACTGTTTAGAGGATGGGCAATTGAAGTTGGCGGTGACTGCTGCGACAGTGGCGGAGGCAGCTTCACAATTTGGGAAGTGGATGGCGAGTTCTGAAGAGGAACTAAGAGAGTCATAAAGGGATAAATATTAAAATTTTGTTCAGACAATCCATTGGCTTGGAGAGTTTTCCCAGTATCCACCCCAAACATTGAGCTAATCGCAGAAACGTATTGACCCCAAGTGACTAAATAACTCAAGAGATATTTGACGCCGTCGTCGGCTTGATTCTTAGTCAACAACTTCGCCACCGTTGCCATTATTTAAAATCACAATAACCTCGTGTGGCAACAATGCCCCAGCAGCAGATTCTATAATCTGGGTCGTGACGATACCTTTCAACGGCCTTTTTAGCCTGCTTAATCTTCTTCTCCTCTCTTTGATTCCTGGCCATCTATTTCTGCATCTCAACTTGTTGCAGATTAGCCAAAATTCTGGCCTCCCTAGGAGGGGTGTCCTTCTTGTTCCCACTTCTCTTGAGCTTCCTGGAAAAGGGGGGCAGCCCTTGTCCATATTGGAGGGAGAGATTGTTGATTATAAAGAAGAAGAAGAAGGAGTTTGTGAATATTAGAGAAGACCGGATGGGGTTTTCATTGTTGCCCTCGATCAAAGGCTGGTGTTTGCCACGCTCTTTGACCACCAACAGTATTCAGGATTCTGTCAATAATTTTCTTTAATTGGGAGGTATTTATAAGTTTAGAGACTTAAGTGTTCTATTTTGAAGTTCAGGGACTGAAGTGGGTTATCGGCCAAAGTTTGGGGGGACAAAATGGAATTAACCCAAGTAAAAATGTATACAAAGTTCTTTAAACTTGCACGTGGTCCTAAACTTTCGCATCTCAGGCCTTGTCTAGTCTGCGCAAACGAAAAATCTTTAATTGGTAATCTAGGATTACACCTGGTCGAACCCTTCCCAAAAAAATTAAAAAAATCCCTCCTTTGTATGATTGTTGTATCTCTCTTTAATATGCCTGGAGTCTCATAAACACGATCAAGCACCCTCCTTCTGGGGGCAAGAAAAGTCGCATAACAAATTCTCGGGAGGCCATTGGTGTGTTCGTCATTGCACGTTTGTTTGTTTGTTTGCATGCACCGGAAAATACTCAATAGTCGCTCACTTTTCTCGAATTCGGGTCGGAGGATAAGATACCCCAATATCAAGGGAATAATAATGAAGTTGGAAGGAGAATATCGACCAGACCGCCACATTGAAATTGATACCGACGATGAGGAAAATCGGGCCGAAAGATTTTCCAAGGAGGAGGAGGAGGGCGACGACGACGACGACGATGAACCTGATTTAGCCGCCGCACCACCCTTAGTGAACTCTTCTTCTAGCAGCGTGGGATCTCATTCTTCTGGCTGGCCTCAAAGCTACAGGTGCTCATCCTATGATTTCCCTCATCCTGGTTTTAACCATATACAGGATGTTAATAGACAAAAATTTACCCAATCAGATACCTCTTACCAATTTTGCATGCATTAAATTACTTTTTTTTTTTTTTTTGCTTGTTTAGATCGCACCATGCTACGAGTTTCTACTACGTACCTTTGTTTTTTTTTTTTTTCTGGTTTAAAGCTGTTTTTGTGTTAGTCCTACTTTATTGCATGGTTGTCATGAGACGCTTGTTACAAGTTAAAAAGTGGGATGCATACAACTGCTGCTCCTTGTTATCACATTCAGGTTTTAAATATACATGGCGAATGAATCTGCTCTGAACCTGAGTTAATGTAGGACTTCGAAGAGATTGTCTGCAGGACTTATTAATATGCATTTCCTGGATCTGAGGGATTCGTTTCCTTTAACAATTTTAATCGTTATTTTAGAAGAGTTTAGAACAATTATGCGTCTACTTAACCTTCCAAATAAACTAATAAAAAACTTATTACATAATTAAGGGGATCGCCGTGAATTTGCCTTTGAATCACTGCATCCTTCTAGATTCTCGTTGCATTCTTCTCAGAATCTGGATAGGAGGTATCTTAATCTTTTATCAAGTTCATGCTGTACAAATAGGTTTTGGAAACGTCAAAATGACGTCATTTTGCATTGAGACATTCAGGGAAAATGTGTCCGTGAATGCCCCTGCTGCGGTTATATCTGGTCTGCAAATATATTGTTTTATATGCATTGAATCTGTTGATATCTGTAGTTGAACAGGTGCTTTAACCATCATTACACAACCCATAAATATGACGCATCTTGACGGAACCAACCTAGTTTTTTCTTTGACTGTTGATGCCAAAATCACTGTGGTCTTAATTACGATTGAAGCATTTCATGATTCTTTTACTAATCGTGTATGTCATGGAAATTAAGCTCCCAACATTGATCTGTTTCAATTGTCTAGGCAATCGATGGACATGTATACAAGTGTTTACGCCTTCCTCATATAGCTTCCTAAGGGGCAGCTCCCCCCCGACTTCAGCAAACAAGAGACCTCAGATTACTGTCCGTGAATCTTCATTTACTAGACCCCTTATATCTCCAACGATCTTTGACAAAGAAGAGGTTACCTGCTCACAACATTTTAAAAAGCTCCCAGTAGCTTCTGGCTCAAGGTTATCTATCGAAGAGTTACCAACACCAAAGCAATGTTCATATGTACAGACAATCCTCCATGGTAACCTACCTGCTGCTTTGCATACATTGATTGTCAGAATGAATATCAGATTGAAGTAACTACGGACGTTCTAAAATTTTATATGCCCAACGAGAACAGTCAAAAGGGACTCGAGTAAATGACTCACTACTAAATTTATTTGTTATTCAAATCATGTTACATTCTTGATCCCTGATTTATTGAAGATTCGATGACCTGTTCTGTTTCTAACATATGATTTTAGAGCTTCGGTTACCCCCATTAAAATAAAAATCTATATATCAAATGGTCTGATACGTTTAACTTCATATACCATGATTGTTCATATCTGTTTATGTTTCCATGCAGCAATAAATGCTTTATGTGGTATTGGAATCCTTTCAACTCCATATGCAGTAAAGGAAGGGGGTTGGCTTAGCCTCATTTTACTTCTAATTTTTGGAGTAATTACTTGCTATACTGGTATTTTGTTGAAGAGATGTTTAGAAAGCTCTCCAGAACTCGAAACCTATCCAGACATTGGACAGGCTGCTTTTGGCATGATCGGTCGAATATGTATAGCTGTAAGCCTGATTTAATTTTTAGCACAATGAACCAATTGCCGGCTATATTTCATATATATATATATATATATCAGCTACTGACTGTCATTTAAACCAAATGCAGATTGTCCTATACTTGGAACTTTACGTAAGTGCCTCTTTTGCTTCCCTTTCTTTTAATTCCATATTAATGCCATCACTTGGTTGTGTCATTTCTGTTGAAAACCAAAGTTATACTGTTTGTGGTACAGTCTTCTTGTGTGGAATACTTGATCATGATGAGCGACAACATGGCTTCAATGTTCCCACATGCTCACCTGGATTTTGCTGGAATCCATATGGACTCCTATCAACTTTGTGCAATTGTATCAACCCTTGTTATATTACCAACAGTTTGGCTTCGAAACCTCAGTTCGCTCTCATATATTTCAGGTTCTGAATGTCATTTGGTTTACTGTTAATTAAGAATCCTTCTGTTTGTACTGACGTCAGTAACTTTTGAAATGCCCACTTTCAGTTGGAGGAGTCATCATGTTAGTGGTGGTGGTAATTTGCTTGTTGTGGGTAGGCGTGATCAATGAAGTGGGATTTCATCCAGGTGGAAGAGTTTTTGACCTGGCAAAACTGCCCCTTACAATCGGTCTCTACAGTTTCTGCTATGGCAGCCATTCAGTGTTCCCAGATATTTACTCGTCCATGAAGGAGCCTTCACAATTTCCCTCCATCCTCGTGATCAGGTACTGTAGTGTATGAACAGATACAGTCCAATTTGTGGAAGTCAACATTCACACATTGACATTAGATCGTTTGCGTTTCTTATGGGTTATGAGATTTTGGGCTCTGATTAGTGGGGCTGTTGAAGGTCTAGAACTCAATTTTATTATTTCAACTATTGAGACGTGAATTCTCATTTGACTGCTGTTTGCTCCCGCGCCAAAAAAAAAAAAATTCAGCTTCTCCACAGCATTTTTTCTGTACACTGGGGTTGCAATCTGCGGTTTCTCAATGTTTGGCGATGCTGTCAAGCCCCAGTTCACACTGAATCTGCCTACGACATTTACTGCTTCTGGCGTTGCTGCATTGGTAGTGGTAAGATGACAGACCAGATTCATAACAGCATCCACCATGCCATTGCAGATGGTTTCGTTTTCATTTGCTTTGCGTAGGTTGCTTTGGAATGCTTAGCCAGCTGCTTTAAGATTTGACGTATTAAAATGAGCATCTGGTTTCGTTTTTTCAGGTTTTAACACCCGTCTCAAAGTATGCCTTGACATTGATCCCTGTTGCATTTGGACTAGAAGACCTTTTGCCTTCATCACGGCTTCGATCTTATGGTGTATCAATGCTCATCAGGACAATGTTAGTGGGCTCAACTCTAGCCATAGCGTTGACAGTTCCATATTTCGGTAAGAATTAATAATGTTCTGTTTATCCTTCCTCGCAAGATCTGCCATGCTTGAATTGAATGGAAGGAAATGTGCACGTTAGCCTTCGATTGGACGCACTAGTAGGTTTTCTTTCCAGCTTTCAGCTGTTTCGTCACATGTGCAGGATCTGTGATGGCCTTAATTGGATCCTTACTCGTGATGCTAGTGGTAAGTTACGTTTACTATAAACACAGATTATGCAATTGATAGAGATCACATCGATTGATGATGATGCTTGATGACAGTCTCTTATCCTTCCCTGTGCTTGCTACATCAGAATAAGTGGTGGTAAATTAACGAACCTCCAGGTGAAAATAAATCTTCTTTTTTCCTCTTCTACTCTGTTGAAGTAGATTTGATTAAACATATACTTATATATATATATAGTGCACCACCGTTGGGACTCATTTTGCAGATCGCAGTTTGCACTGTCATAATGGTGGTGGGCCTGTTATGCTCAATCGTTGGCACATACTCTGCCATTACAAATTTACAATCCTAGCCGAAAGATGATGAACGGCCATAGCTTCGTCCCAAACCAAACGCTGTTTGTTGTACACAAATATTTTACCGACAGTAAAGTAAGTAAGGAAGCATAGACAGAGATAAGATGGACACTAACCGCTGAAGCCACTGAGGACGGACCCTTTCGAATCTGAGAACAATCCAAGAATTAACGGGTCATTGCCTTGACTTCCATTCAATTACCAAGTGTAATGTACCACTGCTCTGCTTAGCTGTTAGTTAGTACCGGATTTTGGAGAATTGGACGGTTTTGGGTTTTCTGCATGGAAAGGTCTCTGTCGTAGGCTAGAAAGGATTTAAAGGGGGGGAATCTGTTACAGGACGAGGATGATTCGCATTTCCTTTACTCATGGACTGTGGCCATCACCGGCCATGATCCAACGCATCTCCCTTGTAGTCGTACAAGCATCCGGTCGCTTTTACAACTGATTGGGCCCATTCACGTTTTATGCCCAAGGATCTTTCAGCAGGGCATGTGGTGCTACCGTTTGGATCGAACAGGCACTCGTAAGCCGTAACACTGAAACATGACTAAACTATATATTATTGATACTTGAATCAAGCTCAACTTGATAACAACTTGTTTGACTTAATGATTTGCTAACTAGTCAAGTCAAAATTGAACGACGTTTCATATTCGATGCAAAAAAAAAAAAAAAATTCGTTCAAACTCGCTTTGACAAATAAACAAGTCAAATTTAAATAAAATTTCAAACTCGTTAAAATAATTACACAAACATCCACAGAAAGGCGTTCGGTTTGATTAATCTCGTTTACATCCTTAGACACTCAATTTGGTGACATTTTAAGCCTTATAAGAAAGAAGATAAAAAAAAAAAAGTAAGAAAGGGCGTGAAAATTGAACTAGCTATATTATGGTTAACTAGGGCTGACCTACGTTTTAAGAGCTAAAAACATGCAGATTGCGGAGTTTAAAACAACCGAATTCTCGACTTAGAATGTGCATAATCTTTTCGAACTGTGTAAGTTTTCTCAATTGCATCGCTATTTTGGGCGGATATGTCACCAGGTGCATGTTCTAAAAGTCAAAATAACACGGGCGTCATTATTCGAGCAAAAAGAGTAAAAAATGGAAACAAAAGAAAATATCACGCTTGAGTTTCTGTCTCAAGATGCAGAGTAGCGTTTATTTTTAATTTTACAATAATTTAATAAAAATAATAACAGAACGATTCCGGATCCCTTCAACTCCATAATTACTACTTTATCTTTCGTTTTTTACTTTCATTTTTTGAGCCAAAGGTTTTCGGAAGATATTGGCATGAAGAATTAAGGGCACAAGTCCGTATATGTATTTCTCCATGTCACTCAGTGGTCATCGTGAAATTAATGGAGGATGTCCCCACCCTACGGAAAAGTGGCAAAGCCTGGAAAACAATAATAAAAATCCTGCATCGGGTCTATCAAGAAACACATGCACATGTGCATGTAACCATGCTTTGCGTCCACATTATTCAAGCTGGGGCAGAGAATGAACGAGAGATCTTCATCTTTTTCAAAGGGGAAAAAAAAAAAACAAGAGATCTTTATTGTAGCCTCCACAATAGATTCCGATGAACCAAAAAAAAAAAAAAAAGAGGCTCCTAACATATATTTCCACTTACTGTTTCATTTTAGATTCTGAACCTCTGACAAAGAGAAAAAGTTTCCGAGAAATACCAAAAATTTGTAATGATAAATATTCTATAAGGTTCCACTTTTTGGTTTTTTTTTTTTTTGGTTCAACATTGAATGAGATTGGAATCCTCCATATGAATGGGTAAGAAATGGTTAACATTTCATATCAGGTTTGATATTAGAGCATGCAATTGTCAGATAAAAACAGAATATTTCACGGCTTGATTGAGCAACTTTAGATTTTGTTAGAATTTTCATTACTTTTGCACTCGAGTTTTATTTTATTTTATTTTATTTATCTAGATGGGGGGTAAATGGACAAACAAAGGGAAAGAAATAACGTAGAGAATTCAAATCTCATCGAATGTAAGTACAATAAAAGATTATCATTTATCATTGTGAAAGGGAGAAAAGTGAAATGAATATATTATCTATAATCTAAGAATTAATTTTACATATATTGATAGTGTATGTATCATCACGATTGAATGCATGATGCATCATGTATAAAATTTGAATTTAGATTAATCGTCACATTTTTTACGATGATAATGTACACATTGTTAATATATTAACAGATTAACATAATCTAAGCCAGTACCGGCCAGTGAGTGATTAACCAACAATCTGTTGGATGGTCATATTCTGTGGCGCAGAAAATACCAAACTGTGTCGTTTAACTACCCACCACAACCACGGCCCGCCGTCACAGCACATCTACTGATTTTAAGCACCAATGTCAAGAAGAAAACAGGAAGTGGAAGAAGATCTTTTTCAGCTCAAAGTCGTCAGTAAAGAATCTACAAACGTTGAAGTCCTCCTCCTCCTCTTCCTCCAACTGTACTTTCTTACAAGTTACAAAGACTAGAGAACTTACGCACTCCCCTAATTCTCTGTCCCCAAATCTCATAGCATATCTCATTCCATTTTGTCCAAACACAAAACTCATAGCATGTCTCGTTCCTCACCGCTCCATATCCGATAGCACTCACAAATTCTTTTAAAAAAAAAAAAATAAAATTCTTTCTTCAGCATCTTGTTCAGTGCCAGACTGTTACGTTCACTTCATTACCTATACCAGTAAAAGTCATGAAAGACGCCTGCACTTGCATTCTTATGTTGCTAATCCAGACCCAGCTCTTCTTTCGCTCAGCTGAAACTTCAATGTACAGTAAAGATTCTGCACCAATGCTAGTTTTGCCCCTGAAAACCCAAGAAATCTCAACCGGGTCCCTCCCAGAGCTCCTAACAAGCTTCCATTCACCCATAATGTCACCCTCACAGTTTCTCTGGCAGTGGGAACCCCCTCACAGAACGTTACCATGGTCCTCGACACAGGAAGTGAGCTCTCGTGGCTGCAGTGCAACACCACCCGATCCGGGCAACCCGTTTTCTTCCCGAACCGGTCATCGTCCTACTCGCCCGTCACTTGCTCCTCCCTCACCTGCACCACCCGAACCAGGACTTGTCCATTCCGGCTTCCTGTGATTCTAGGAATCTCTGCCACGCCGTGCTGTCGTACGCGGATGCCTCTTCTTCCGAGGGGAATCTGGCATTGGACAACTTCAACGTTGGCGGGTCGAATTTTCCTGACACCGTATTTGGCTGCATGGATTCGGGTTACAGCAGCAACTCCGACGAAGACTCGAAGACGACCGGGTTGATGGGCATGAATCGCGGGTCGCTTTCTTTTGTCTCTCAGATGGGCTTCAAGAAATTTTCCTACTGCATTTCTGGTTCCGATTTCTCGGGTGTTTTGTTGCTGGGCGACGCCAATTTGACATGGCTGATACCCTTAAATTATACACCTTTGGTTCAAATTTCAACCCGCTGCCTTATTTTGATCGGTGGCCTACACGGTTCAACTCGAAGGTATTAAGGTTTCGGATAAATTGCTCCAGCTGCCAAAATCCGTATTTGAACCCGATCACACGGGAGCGGGGCAGACCATGGTTGACTCGGGCACCCAGTTTACCTTCCTCCTGGGTCCGGCTTACACAGCTTTAAGAGCTGAATTCGTGAACCAAACCAGTGCGGTGTTGCGGGTTCTTGAGGAACCTGAATTTGTTTTCCAAGGGGCAATGGACCTGTGTTTCCGGGTTCCAATGAACCGTACAAACATACCAGAAGTGCCGTCGGTGAGTTTGGTGTTTCGGGGCGCGGAGATAGTGGTTTCGGGGAGAGGCTACTGTATCGGGTACCGGGTCAAGTTAGGGGGAGCGATGAGGTGTACTGCTTCACGTTCGGGAATTCGGATCTATTGGCAATCGAAGCATACGTGATCGGGCACCATCACCAACAAAATGTGTGGGTGGAGTTTGACCTGGAAAAGTCAAGGATTGGTTTCGCTCGCTTACATTGCGACCTGGCAAGGCCAAGATTCGGCGTTTACCGTTCCCATAATTTTTAATTTTAACGACGGTCCATGAATGATGATGGTCCCCTGACGTCGGACGGGTGTCTTGCACAACGTACGTACCAGACCTGGAGTTTAGAAGATCGTCATCAGCAACAATGGCGGCGGCTACTCCTGCAACCAAACAAAATGCTGGTATATTGCGGCTCTTTTTTGTGTCTTTCATAATTTCTAAGTGATAAATACTCTCCTCAGTATCTATCAATCTGTTTCATATAGCAATCTTTCTGTTCTGGTGGTGAAATAAGTTTTGGTAGGAAAGAATATTCCTAATAATAATAATAGAGAGTTGTAGCTAAGGCCCCAAAGGCTTGAACTATGTGCCAATTATGATGCAGAGGTTTAACAGCACGACAGCAAAAGTGGTGAGTGGTTTTAAAAAAAAAAAAAAATTACACGTGTCATTACGTAAAAAAATACTTCCTCCGTCCCACTTTGACAGTCCCATTTTTTTTTCCCACACAGTTTAAGAAAAAGTAGTTAAATTTGTTGGAAAAGTAAATTTAGATTGCTATTTTCCTAAAATACCCTCACATTAAATATGGTACAATTTTATTGGAACTTGAATTGATGGTAAAAAAAGAATCAACTCTCGTTAAATGGGGTAGGTTTATAGTAACAACAACTTACATTGAATAAGGGTATTTTAGGAAAATTAAAATACAACTACATTTTTCAATTGGAAAGTGGACTACAATTTGGGATAGACGAAAAAGGAAAACGGGACTATCAAAGTGGGACAGAGGGAGTAGTTAACTTTGTTGGAAAAATAAATTTAAATTGCTATTTTCCTAAAATACCCTCACATGAAATATGGTACAACTTTATGAAAACTTGAATTGATAGTAAAAAAAAGAATCAATTCTCATTAAATGAGGTAAATTTATAGTAATAACTACTTACATTGAATAAGGGTATTTTAG